GACCCCCCTGCCCGGCGCCCCGGGACGCGCGGAAGGCGGGCGGCGAGGGGCGTGGAGCCGGGGACCTGCCGCGTCCGGGGGCAGAGGCTTCTCCCCTGACCCCCGGGCTCTGGGTGCCCCCGTGCGCGCGGCGGGTCCAGGCGGGGGCGGCCCCGCGTCCCTCCCGCCCGCCTGCCTCGCGCTCCCGCCCTCCCCGCCTGTTGTTTTCCTCTCCTCTCCCGGCTGCGCGCAGCCCGAGCCCCACAGGACCCGGGCAGGCGGCTCCCGCCCCGGGTGCTCGCGGCAGCGGAGCGGAGCGCCCAGAGCGCGCTCCCCGAGCATAGGCTCGCGGCTCCCTGGCGGCCCTGGACGCCGGGGAGCCCCACCCCGACCCCTGCCCGTGGCTTCACTCCCCTCCGACCCAGCGGCCGCCAACGCCCGTCTCCACCTCCCGCCCCAGTCCTGCCATGGAGAAGCCCTACCGGCACATCTGGATCTGCCCCTGCTCTCAAAACAATAATCCGCCTTGCGGTCCGCCGTGGGGAGAGCCCTCCCCTTCTCCTGTCCCCACTTGTGGCCTTTTTCTCGGTCCTCCAGCGCTCCGCGCTGTGACCTCCCGGGCCACGTACAGACAGGTCTGCAGCCGGGAGCCCAGCCCCAAGAGCCTCCCTTGGCCGCTGTCCCCCGGGCCCAGCGCTGGGGCCTGAGAGGCAAGGCCAGCCCTGGCCATGGGGGCAGAGACCGCTGGGCCACAGCATACATCTGCAGGCACAGCCAAAGCCAGAAAGGGGCGTGAAGACCCCTCGCACCCCCCATGCACACCCGAAGGTCACTGCCTGCTGCCCAGCGCCATGCCCTGGTGCTGGAAGCACAGACCAGAGGGCCAGGACTCCTTGAAAAGCTGAGCAAAGACACAACCAGGCCACCGTCCCCAGGAGGAAGGAAAGTCCCTTTCGCCCTGCAGAGCTGTCCCCAAGCTCAGCTCTGTCAAGCCCGCTGCTCCAGCCTTCCCAGGTGGGACCTGTCAGCTGAGTTTCCAAGAGACGCCAAGGCGACAGGGCTCGGATAAAACTCGGTTTTTAAAAAAGCCGCATCTGGCCCATGAGGCCGGAGTGTGTGTTACTGGGAGGGCTGACCCTATGTGACCTCAGCCTCGGAGAGATGGAGCTGGGAAGTGGGGACAGCAAGGACTCCTTCCTTGTGCTGCAAGGAGCATCGTGTCGCGGTCAGGGCTCCCCAGAGAAGCGTCTGTCTGTCCACCCCGCGGCTGGCCCGGGCGCGGGTTCACTCCTGGTCTCTCCCTCGTCTTTTCACTGCTTTCTTATGTCATTGTCTGCCGCTTCTCCTGGTATCCCAGAGTAGACGTTATCCTGGAGTAGGGATGGGAGTCCCCCAAAGCAGGAGCTGTTCCCCCCCTGTCAAACTAGGGGCTCCCCCAGCCTAGGGTTGGGGCTCCCCTATCTGACTCAGGACTCTTGCAGGCAGAGAGCCTAACTCCCCCATCAGCCTACGAACTTCACCTTGGCAGAGTCACTGCCTCTCCTATCAGACTGGAGACTCTAAGCTCAGGGATGATGCGTCTGTCATCAGATGGGGACTCTTCCAAGAGCAGGAAGTGAGCCTCCTCCATCAGACTGGGAGTTCCCCCAGGGTAGGGGCCATGTGTCCTCGTACCACAGGCCAGTGGAGGGAATTCCCAGTCTTTCAGACCTTGACCAGTGGCCTGAGACAGGGCTCTGGGAAGCAGAGGTGGGGTGACCTGAGTGTCAGAACAGGAGACGGGACCAGGACCTGAGCCAGTGCGCGCACCTGACCCCAGCATGCGCCCCCCCTCCCCAAATCAGAATGGAGAGGCTGCCAGCGGGGGTGGGAGAGCACTGGGCCCTGCCTAGGACAGGGCTCTCACTCTCAATGCCCTCCTTAGGTCATCTGTGGCCAGGATGACGGCCCCCCTGGCTCGGAGGACCCTGACCACGACGACCACGAGGGCCACCCCCGGCCCCGGATGCCTCGGAAGCGGGGCCACATCTCACCGAAGTCCCGCCCCGTGGCCAACCCCACGCTCCTAGGGCTGCTGGCTCCTCCTGGAGAAGCTTGGGGGGTCCTTGGGCAGCCCCCCAACCGCCCGAGCCACAGCCCTTCACCCTCGGCCAAGGTGAAGAAAATCTTTGGCTGGGGCGACTTCTACTCTAACATCAAGACGGTGGCCTTGAACCTGCTGGTCACGGGGAAGATAGTGGACCACGGCAACGGGACCTTCAGCGTCCACTTCCGCCACAACGCCACGGGCCAGGGCAACATCTCCATCAGTCTCGTGCCCCCCAGCAAAGCTGTAGAGTTCCACCAGGAGCAGCAGATCTTCATCGAAGCCAAGGCCTCCAAGATCTTCAACTGTCGCATGGAGTGGGAGAAGGTGGAACGGGGCCGCAGGACCTCGCTCTGCACCCACGACCCGGCCAAGACCTGCTCCCGAGACCACGCCCAGAGCTCCGCCACCTGGAGCTGCTCCCAGCCCTTCAAGGTCGTGTGCGTCTACATTGCCTTCTACAGCACGGACTACCGGCTGGTCCAGAAGGTGTGCCCAGATTACAACTACCACAGCGAAACCCCCTACTATCCCTCGGGGTGACCCTGGGTAGGGCCGGAGGACAGGCCTGCCCGTGCAGGAGGCCATCTGTCTGGACGCTGGGCAGGGCAGGGCTGGGCCTTAGGCAGAGAGGGGGGTGGTAAAGAGGAGCTGCCAATCAGGGCCGGGGTCCCCAGTGCTGGCCGCAGCCTGGGCTGTGTGCACCTGCTGCATGGGAGCACTGGCGGAGGAGCGGGCATCCTGTGCAGCCCCATGGGGCGCCCCCATGGAGCCCAAGGCAGATGCTGGGGCCCTGAGATCCCTGGGCAGGAAGTCCAGGGTGGCCCTGATAGAGTCACAGCGAAGAGCCCAAACCCTGGCTCCCTCCCACCATCCTGAGTGAGGACAGCGTCAGGGAGTGGACGCCAGGTGGTCCCCTGAGGGTTCAGGACTGAGACAGGGACTCACGGGAGCTCAGATAGGAGTGAGGCAGGAGGGCCTCTTCAGCTCAGTCCAGTGGGCAGCCCTGAGCCCTTGACCTGCCCATAGCACAGTGCGGGGCTGAAGTGGTGACCCTCGGGGTATTTGAGGTCCTGACCCATGGGCCACCCGTCAGCAGCAAGGTGACCCCTTTCTGGAGTCCCCCTCCTGCCAGCACTCCCCCTCCTCCCCACCCTCCTGTGATGCACACCCATCTATAAGCTGAGGCCACTGGGAGACCACTGTGGCCACAAGTGGAGGTCTCCAGTGTGCCACGTGTCCCCCTTCCACTCTATCCCTTACTGGCTCCTCTGGGAGCATCCTTGTCACAGAGCGTGGTCCCTCAATGGTCAGCCTCTCCCAGGCAGGGCTGTGGCCTCCCTCTGGGTGGTGGGCTGGCTGGGACCACCCTGTGGAAGGTCCCGGACCAGTCCCCTAGTGCGTGTCTGTGGGCGGGGGTGGGGTGGGGTGCGGGGGGGGGGGTCTGTGAAATCACCCGATTGTTGACTTCTGTGTGCAGAGTCTTGTTGTGGGAGCAGGGAATAAAGGTTTCCCAGGGACGCTGGGGTCCAAGTCGTCCCGGGAGCAGAGGGCCCTGGGCGCGGCTCTCAGATGGCGGCAGGGCTGTGACAGCACTGGACTGAAGGCTCCAGGGCGTCTCTCTCCAGCCCTCTTCCCAGGCCACCAGAGCCAGCACCAGGAAACCCGAGCAGCCTGTGGGTGGTGCCGGGGGTGGGGGGGTCTCTGTGGGGCAGCAGCGGGAGGAAGAGCTCGTGGTAGAACAGGTCAAAGACAGGCCGTGCACTGCCCGCGCTGAATCCCATCTGTCAGGGCCCGGGCGGGGGTCCTAGCTCTGCCATTCCTTTTCTTTTCTTTTTTTTTTTTTTTTAAGACATTTAAAACCTTTTTTATTTTTCAGTTGTATCTGAAAGGCAGAGAGAATGAGAGAGAGAGAGAGAGAGAGTGCAATCCTCCATCCATTGGTTCACTCCCCAAATGCCTGCAACAGAAAACAGCCAGGAACCAAGAACTCCACCCAGGTCCCCCACGTGGGTGGCAGGGACCCAAGGACTTGAGCCCTCACCTGCTGCCTCCCAGGATGCACAGTAGCAGGGAGCTGGACCAGAAGCGGAGGTCTCAGGCACTCTCAGAGGGACGTGGCCATTCCAAGTGGCAGCTTAACTGCTGGGCCACGTGCCCAGCTCTCTGGTGTGGCTTTTCTGCGTGGCCGTGCCTACGTCCGCTCTGCTCTCTGGCTGTCCTACTGCAACACGAGGAGCTTGCCTGGTCCAGTGGTTCTCCCATGGGAGTGGGCATCAGGGTCACCCAGGCGGTTCATCCAAACACAGACTGCTGCCTCCTGCTGGAGTTCCTAACTCAGCAGATGGGGGCGAGGCCTTAGAATATGCATTTCTCCCCAGGGCCAGGCAGATGCTGACGGTTCAGGGACCACACCTTGGGCATTGCTCGGATGTCCACGGCCCACAGCACTTCCCGTGGCTGCTCCTGGGGACCTGTCCTTCCAGGGAATCCGGGGACATGGCTTTTCTTTTTCTTAAAAAAAAAAAAAAAAAAGATTTATTTATTTATTTGAAAGTCAGAGTTACACAGAGAGAGGAGAGGCAGAGAGAGAGAGAGAGAGAGAGAGAGAGAGGTCTTCCATCTGCTGGTTCACTCCTCAATTGGCTGCAATGGCCAGAGCTGCGCCAATCCAAAGCCAAGAGCCAGGAGCTTCTTCCAGGTCTCCCACATGGGTGCAGGGGCTCAAGGACTTGGGCCATCTTCTACTGCTTTCCCAGGCCACAACAGAGAGCTGGATTGGAAATGGAGCAGCCAGGTCTTGAACTGGCGCCCATATGGGATGCCAGCACCGCAGGTAATGGCTTTACCCGCTATGCCAAAGCGCCAGCCCCACGTGGCTTTTCAATTCAAGGAGCTGCTATAGAAAGAGCAGGCTGGGATGGAACGGGCAGAGGGGCCCAGGGCAGCCTTTCCAGCTGACCTGGTTGGGGAGGGCTGAAGCCCCCTAACCACGGTCACAGCCCCCTCTAGAGGCCATTCTAGGCCTGCTTTCCCGGGAGGGCAGCACGCAGGTTGCTGCGCCTGGTAGCCCCAGTGAGGAGAGCCCAAGCACACAGGGAGGGGGTCTCGTCTCCCCAGCCTTTCTCGCTGCCCACCGGCCCTGGGTGCAGCCCAGCTCTGAACACACGGCAGGGAGAGCTGGGCAGGGCCTAAATGCCACCTTGCAGTGACCATGTCTGTACGAAGTGACCCAGACAGGGCACTGACTCCCAGAGAGCCCGTGCCCTGTGCAGCTCTTCTCCCCTGCATTGTGCTTTCTGGGGCCCCCTCTCCTAAGTCCCGCCTTGATGGCTTCACCCCACGCTCTCCCGCCCCACCTTGGGGCTGGGGGCTTGGCCTTGCCACGCGCGGCCAGGATCTGGAGTGTTCTCTCACCTGCGGACGCACCCTGGCCACCAAGCAGGAGAGCCCCCACGGGGCCAAGTGGAGGGGGCCCCTGTGCGGCCCGGCCGGGGCGCGGTGACCCTCCCCTCCCCGCCTCTCCCTTCCTCTCCTCCTGCCAGGAGCCAGATGCTGCCGACAGCTGGACGGCCCGGCCTGCCTGGCACGCAGTTCTGCCTGCACAGGGGGTGGGTTCATTTTAATAACTTCATTTCACCCTCACGCACACTCTGCCGCCTCGCCCCTCCTGCTCTGCCGTCCCCAGTAACCAGGCTGCTCTTCTCAGCGTGGATTTTGCTAACGAATCTTAATTCTTTGGAATAGTCCTCTGGCCCCGACTCCTTGAGCCAGCTACTTCCTGGGCCACTCAGTCCTCACAGAGCAAAAGGGGCCACCCCGTTCCCCTGGCCCCTGGGTGAGCCGTGTCTGTGGCGTCCCCGTGGAGACGTGGCCATAGTACTCCTGCCTCCCACTCCTGCTGCCGCACTCACCGGCCGGCAGAATGCTCTCAAACCAGGCCTTTGCCCTCCCCACCGCCACCCTTCACACCGTCTGGGATCTCAGTGCCTAGCTGTCGGCTGCCCCAGGAGAGGCCCTGCCCCCTCCCGTCAGAATGGAGCCTCTGGGACAAGCCCTGCCAGAGCCGGGGCTCTTTGAGGATGCGGCTTATGGTGCCTCCGGCCAGGGCTTCTGCCTCCTTCATCAGACTGGGGACTCCCTCCTCAGACTGGAGTCTCCTCCGGGGCTGCCTCTGCCTTCAGCTTTGTGCAGAGGCACTGGCTGGGCCTCGGTGTTCCCGTCTCTAATGGGGTGAAGGCTGGGAGCGAGTCAGAGGGAACACACATCGGAGCTGAGCCTTTCTCTGGTTGGAGCTGAAGGCAGCAGCAAATGGAGCCCCGGGCGCCTCCGCCCTCCCCCCTTTCTCCTTCTCTGGGATGAGCAAGCGGGAACTGAGTCACCCCGGCCCCCATCCTCGCAGGAATGCTGGTGACCTTGCATGTGAGGCCCATTGCTCAGAGACGCATGAGGGTGGTGGGTGGGGAGGGAGGCTGGGGGATGGGTATTTCCGGGAGGGGGGTGGCCAGGGCTCTGGATCACCAAGTGGGTCTGTGTAGGGGTTGTGGGGGGTGCAAGGAGCCCATTGCTCAGAGCTGGGATGTGATCTGGTGTCACTGCTGGGGGTGGGAGAGAGAAATGTTACTTCCAAAGACGGGTTCCTGCCAATGTGCCAGGAGAATTGGGGGCTGGGAGGCACCATCAACCCCCCCAGGCAGAGGCAAGATGGGGGTGGAAGCGGCACCTGCCACTTTCGCCAGAGTCCTGGAATGGCAGCTGACACCATCACCAAGGCGCGGATGCCGGAGCAGACCTGGCCCTCACCAGCCGGAAGCTGGATTCTGGCTCCACAGGGGACCCTGTTTCCTGTTGGCCTGCCTACCTGGGTCAATGCCCCCGTTCATGTCAGGGCCACCTGGCCAGCTGGTCCCAAGGAACAAGCCCGAGCTGCAGCAGCTGCCCGTGACCCAGCAACATGGTGCTGCAGGAGGCTCCCTGTGGGTCTCCAGCCTGGGTCTCTAATTTCTTAGTGGGTGGGCCTCCCCTCACCCTAACCCCCCCAGTCTCCTTCTACGAAACACCACGGTGCCGCCTACCTATGGCATTGTGGGGAAAGCTGAGTGAATTGCGCAACACATGTGACCCCCCTCCTCTCTTTGCTTTTGGAGATGGCTTCTGCTAACTTCAGCCTTGCTCCTGACGTAGACAAGTGGCAGGGCCCAGGGTTCAAGGTAGGAGACCTGGGTTCCTGCGCTGGTTCTGCCCAGCAATGCATGCAGGAGCCACCAGAGGTTCTATGCTGTCCATTTCCCCTTCTCCACAGGAGTGGGCCCGTCAGCTGGACCCAAGGCTGTGTGAGCTAAATGCTACCCCTCCCCACCTCCCCTTGCCCCCCGAGTGCCCCACATCTGGCCAGTGACCTGGAAGCCAGAGGGTTATATGGCAAATTCCGGAAACCTGCAGACAGTGGATGAGTGCCCTCTGCCCCTTCTTTGTCCCCCCGCCCCCATCCTGTCCGGCACATGCACATGACCGTGAGCCCTGGCCACCATCTTGGACTGTGGAGCCAAGAGCCACAGCCTTGAAGGGGCGGAGCAGTGAGCGACAGCGACGCCAAGCCTAGGTTCCCGGATGGTTTTGCAGCCAGCCCTCGGCTACCCATGCAAATTTGATGCAAGAGGAAAGTCTCATTCCCCTTTCATTTAAGCTCCACTTATTAGGTCTCCACTTCTTGCAGTTGGGTTTGAGCCCCTGGGCTTCCGTGGGTCTGCTTCCTCTCGGGTGGAGCTGAGAGATTTCTGTGGACTCGTAGGCAGGAATAGACTTGGGGAAGCTCGGGTCCTCCTCCTCCTCCTCTCCCGCATCTTGATGCACAGCCTCTGTTTTGGGGGGCAGGACGAGCTGCTGCTGCATTGCAGGGAGCCCCCGAGAGGCGCAGTAGGATTCTCTGTCCCTGTCTGAAGGGCCTCCAGTCCCCAAATTCAGCTCCCGCCCGTCTGAGTCCCCATACACGCTCTGATGTTGGTGACACACAGTCCTCGTTAAGGGCCTCACTGATCCCAGCCAGATGGGATCCTAATTTAATTAAAACCCTTTAATTACCTGCAACAACACAGCATGAGGAGTCCAACGTGGGAGGGGGCCGTGATGGGCAGGGCCACCGCCGACAGGACATAGTCATGGTTGCCATTTCAGCCCATGGGGAGCCCAGGGTCCCCAGGCCTCTCCCGCCCTGGTGGGCACAGACTGCAGGGAACAGCCAGGTTTCTGGTTTGGTCCACGGGGCACAGCTGAGCAGGGCAGTGGAGCAAACCAGGCCCTGGGGAGCAGAGGACCTGAAGCTGTCAGTGTTGGCTTGGTGCTTGCGTTAAATCTGGCACGGCCTGTTCAAGGTCAAGGTCTGATCCCTCTCCGGAACTTGGCCCTGTCTGGGACACTGGGGGAGGAGCAGGTCTGGCTCTGATTTCTCCCGAGTGGCCTGGCTTAGGAGACAGGGGTACTTCTGCATCCTCCAAAGGCAAGCTGGGCCCCCAGTCCTGCCTGGCACCCACCCAAGGTGTCACCAACCAGGGAGGGGCCATAAGAGAGGGTGACTTAGGTGAGCCCAGAGGGGCCATGTGATTTCTTGGGGACTCATCAGGACCCCTCCATGGCCCTGGACCTCAGCTGACTCCTCTTTGATGGCAGAAGGAGCCCAGGCCAGGCCGGAGCCTGCCAAGCCCAGGCAAGGACAGGCTGAGAAACCCGGACTTGTGAGCTGAGCTATTTTTAGGCTGTGTGGACATCATACGTTAATACCCCTTCTGTTCACCCTCGGTACTTATTCATTCAATAAATATTGTTTAATAAAAGCCTTGGAAAGTTCCAGCTGGTCTCTGCAGTCTGGGAGATTCAGGGGAGGAGGTGTTGGGTCGCACGGGGGCCAGAGCCTTAAAGGAGGACAGAGGATGTCGGAGGCGTTGTGAGGTCAGTGGCTGGGGTTGAAGCCAGCAGCCCCAGGTAGGGGAGGGGAGCCTTGGGGGGAAGGGTCGGGGCCCCTGCCCATGCCAGATTCTGCCTCCCAATCTCAGGCCCAGGTTCTGTGTTTTGCATTATGGGACGAGGCCCCAGCGCCTTGCTCTCTGCGCCCCTAGCCGTCTCTTTGCTGGAGTCCTGCTCCTCCTGCCACCCCTCCACGCCCAGCCTCGAGAGAGAGCGTGCAGGTGTGGCTTCCCCCTGGGCTCTGCTGACTGCCCAGGGAGGCAGGATGGTGCTTCCTCCGGGGCATGGCTAGTGAGTGACCTGGCTACATGGGGCCATGCCTGCGATGCTTACCAGGCGGTGTGCAGACACGTGCTGAGGGAGGGGAAACAGCAACAGGAGGACAGGTGTGCACTGCACCTGCCAGGCCCCCCTGGGCAGCAGGGCGGCGGGGCGGGAGCGGTGAAGGCAGGTGAGGACGGCAGCCCACCGGGGTCGGCACGCTCCTCCCACCTGTCCGTTGTCTTCTCTAGGAAGGGCTTCCGCCAGCTGGCTTAGCTCCCGGGGGCACAGCGAAGGCAGGTCTCATCCGGAATGGCTCACTTGGAGGAAAAGTCGAGGCCTCGGACTCCCAGCGCGGTCACTTCTCTGCTCCACTGTCCCAGGATTCCTTGCCCCATCTCTTCCAAGCTTGGAAAGAAGTAGGGAGCCCAGGTGTCACTAACCAGGGGTCAAAGCCAGGTCACGGCCCAGCTGTGGTGTTGGAGGGGCTGGGTTTGCGTCGTACCTGCCACATGATTTGGAGCTGGTCACCTTGCCCCTGTGGGCCTTGGATGGCAATTCTGTCCCCTGCTCCCTGTGATAGACAAGCGAGCTCTCTCCCTGGGGAGCACCACGTGGGCTGTGTAGGGTCGCTGTTGGAGCAAGGTTGCCTGGATTCTAATCCTTGCTGCCGCTTCCCGACAGTCACTGTAGACCACAGCCAAGTCGCTGACCGTCCTTGTGTCTCAGGCCCCCATCTGTGAAATGGGGACGCTCCTACTTCTCAGATGCTGCTGTGAGCGGGAACTCGTGCAGCTCTGGGAGGTATCTGGCACAGAGGCAGGGCTCAAGGGCAGCTGCTGGGATGACGGCCCCGCCCTTCCGGATGCTGGCCACGCCTGGCTGGGGGAGGGGTTCCACGCTGCTTGCTGCAGGAAGTAGGTGCAGGAAAGACCCCAGAGGGAAGGCCAGATGACCGTCATGTCTACACAGGATGACATTCACAAGACGCTGGGTTCTGGACAGGAAGTGTCACTCCCGAAGCGCCTTCCGGTGCAGTGGCTGCCCTCTGACCTGTCGCTGTCAGCTGACGCAGGCTCAGAGAATGCAGGTGGCCAAGGAGCCTTCCCTCAGGAGCGCAGAGCTACCCATCCAGGGAACAGTCAGCCCAGTGCGCTCTCCGGGCCGAGCCTAGGGCGTGCTCCTGCCCCCAGCCGTGGCCTGATCAAATCCAGCTCCTTCTCTCTCTCCTCGCCCACCTACCCAGCTTCTCATCAGCTCGGACAGCCCGAGGATCCCTGGCTGGCACTCCCTGTGAAGGGGTGTGTGACGTGGGCCCCTGTGCCCAACTGTACCCTGGAGGGGGAGGACAAAGAGAGTTCTGAGGACGGGGCCTGTGCCACCTGTTCCTTCCACGCTCTGAGAAGGGCCAAGTGCATGGGCTACACACACGCACACACACACACACACACACACACGTGCGGCCTGGTGGTGAGATCTTATTGGTTCACAGATGAACTCTGAACTCATCTGTTGTTGTGGGGGTGGGGAGGGGACACAGCTCTTTGGTCATGAGAATGGTGCTGTGTGTGTGGGGGGGTACCCCAGGGGGCAGTGGATGGGAACACAGGAAGTGGAAGGGGCATGGATGCCCCACTTAGCAGGCTCGGCAGCTCCCGGGCCTGTGCGAGGAGGGGCCGCTGCCATCTGCCACATCTCAGCGGAGATGAGAACTGGAGGGCTTGTTGGAGGCGGGGCTGTTTTTTGTTTTTTTTTTTTTTTTCAATGCGGCAGGATCAGGCTCAAGATGTCACTCTGGTAAGCGGGACTGGAGCTAGGGAGAGCAATGTCCAGAAAAACAGGGGAGAAATACCTGGAAGCTTCCATGCTCCAGAAGGAGGGAAGAACAGGAGGCAAAGAGAAGAGAGGAAATGATGGGCAGGGCGCGTCAGTCTTGGCCCGGCGGCCCTGGAGGCAGCAACAGTCCAAAACAGCGGGCTCCCGGTCCCAGGCACGGCCTCTCTCCAGCCCGGCTTGGACACCAGCGGCCACAGTGCGCCTGCCCCGCCTCTCCCTTCTTCCCCTCCGGCACGCCCAGCACCCCACCTTGGGCTATCACAGTGAGGATCACAAATGAGGGACCAAAGAGCAATGCGCAGGTGACCCGGAGACTCACGCCCACTGACGCTTTCCCGGGGCCCCCGTGGCCTCTCCCTCCGCAGCGGGGCCACTCAGGCGGCTCCTTCCTGCCCGGTGAGCCTCACAGCCCCCCATGTGCCATTTCAGATTTATGCCAGTCCAGGAACCTCTCTCCCTCCCTCTCTTCCTTGCTTTCCTTTCAGATTCATTTTATTTATTTGAAAGACAGAGTTTCAGAGGAAGGGAAGGAGGGAGAGAGAGAGAGAGAGAGGGAAAGAATCCTCCATCCCCTGGTTCACTCTGCAAATGGTTACAACCGCTGGGGATGGGCCAGGCCAAAGCCAGGAGCCCAACGCCGTCTGGGTCTCCCACGAAGGTGCAGGGGCCCCAGTGCTTGAGCCATCTTCTGATGCTTTCCCAGGCACGTTAGCAGGGAGCTGCATCGGGGGTGGAGCAGCCAGGACCTGAACCTGCCTCTCACATGGGATGCCAGCCTAGCAGGTGGTGGCTTAACCTGCTGTACCACCACACTGGCCCCAGTCCAGGAAATTCTAAAAGGAAGTGACTCAAGGGGTCACGTGTGGCCAAAGGGCAGAAATAACAACAGCATTAGTAACAGCTCACCTTTCCACAGTCCCATTCAATGCCAGGAACTGAGTTAAGGGTGTGACCCTTTTTCATTAACTCCCTGTGAGAACTCTGAATTAGACCCATTTTACAGCTGAGAAAACTAAGGCTTAGAAGGTGAGTGCTTTGACCAAGAGATGAACCAGGCTCCTGGAGGACACCGGCCCTGGCCCCTCTGAGGGCCCCGGCGCTCTTAGCAACGTCACAACAGCGGGTGCAGGGCGTGCCCCCAGCCCCAGCCTTGCCCTGAACTCCCAGCCCCCCACCTGTTTTCTACACGTACTCAACCCTGACAAACACCAAGCTCCCAGATCACGCCTTTCGGCCATTGCACAAGCCCACTGAGCCAGGAGCTGGCGCCCCGCAGCCCCGCCCCTCTGAGCATGCGCAGAGCCTCTGCGTCCACTCCCACGGAACTCGGGCGCCTCTCGGGTGGGCTCCTTCCCGTGGGCTCCCAGCATGCCCCGGCTCCTCCTTCCTGGAGGAAAACCCAAACACCCTCTCCTCGACTTGCGCCTCGTGTCCCTTTCCTAGCTCTGCCCTTGCCTCTGCAGCCATACATCCAAGACCGGCCCCTTCTCCGCCAACCTCGAGTTCACCTCTCACGAAGGCCGGTCCTTTCCAGAACAAGGCCCTGGCTAGGTACCGTGGCTTCCACGTTGCCAATTCCAACGAGTACCTTTGAAAACTCCTTCTCTTGACCATGTTTGGAACTTGTGATAATTGTTTGCCCTGGTTCTGTTTTCTTCCTATTGATCGCCGGCCATTTCTCCTCCTCTGTGGCAGATCTCCCTTTTCTGGCCTTTCAATTTGGAAGTTCCGTAAGGCTCCGAGCTGGGTTGCCCTCTCTCTGCCGACCCGGCCCCCTGTGCAGCTCTCAAGTGCACCTGCTCCTCTCTGGCGTGGCCACCTCCCCACTCCCAGTCCCACTCTTCCCCCCAGCTGCAGCTCTGTGCTCTGACCAGAGAGCTTAGCACGGTGTGCATACCGCCCAAAACCCCTCTGTGGCTTCCCCACGGCTCTAGGACAGTCCCTGAAGTCTAAACGTGACCCGAGAAGGCGCTGCACACCTGACTCCTAACTTGCTCCCACCTCCCACACTGGCGCCGGCTCAGGGAAGCCTGTCCAGACCCCCACCCCGGCACAGGCTGTGGCGGTGCTGTGACTCTGTCGGGGTGTCCACCGTGACTTGACAGCAGGTCCTTGTGGGATGACCAAGAACACGCGATCCCCACTGGACCAAGCTCCAATGAAGGCAAGGAGGGTCCGTTTCACTCACAGGTTCCATCCCTAGAACTAGCACGGTCATTGGCACATTGTGTATCAAATACATATTAGCAAAGAAAACAGAGAGGGCTATAACAACTTTTTAAAAAATATTTATTTGGAAGGCAGAGTTACAGAGGCAAAGGCAAAGAGAGAGGTCTTCCACCTGATGGGTCACTCCCCAGATGGCTGCAACAGCCAGAGCTGTGCCGATCTGAAGCCAGAAGCTTCTTCCAGGTCTCCCACACAGGTGCAGGGGCCCAAGGCCTTGGGCCATCTTCTACTGCTTTCCCAGGCCCTAGCAGAGAGCTGGATGGATCGGAAGTAGAGAAACCAGGACTCAAACTGGTGCCCATCTGGGGTGCTGGCACTGCAGGTGGCTACACCACAGTGCTGGCCCTGCTTGCCCTTTTAAGAATGAGATTAGGCCGGCGCAGTGGCTCACTAGGCTAATCCTCTGCCTTGCGGCGCCGGCACACCGGGTTCTAGTCCTGGTCAGGGCGCCGGATTCTGTCCCGGTTGCCCCTCTTCCAGGCCAGCTCTCTGCTGTGGCCCAGGGAGTGCAGTGGAGGATGGCCCAGGTGCTTGGGCCCTGCACCCCATGGGAGAC